TTTCTGTAGCGATTACCGATTTATCGGCAAATACCGCGATTTGAAAACTTACTTTTCTTTATCATTTCATTCTACAGCATTTATAGTTTTACAGCTATCTTATACAGTTCTATAATATTGTGAATGATTCCGAATATTCAAAACGAATTGAAAGAATGAAAGCAGTAATGATGTACTGTATAACGGTTTAAACTTAGCCGGCCGTACAGCTCACTGCCACCGGTCACTGAGCCGAAGGATAAACCGAAAATTCACTTTTCTCATCACAAGATTTAATGTTCAGTCGATCCGCTACATTGAAAGATGAGTATACTTGGCTATTTTTTTGGCAGGGGTAACGAAATATATCGGCTGTTCTCTACAGTAAGTGTTTCTTTATGTGTTGCCCATCGGAATATAATATAACTACATAAGCTTGATAGATGTAAGATAACGAGTTTCACAATCCCATTTTAAATACTATGGCTTTTGGCAGCCTGGTTTTGCATCATATGTGTTTTTCAGTAAAAGCCCCATTTTCCTACTTCCCCAACGTGTAACACGCGAAAAAAACTTTGTTAATAATAACAAAAAATTGTAATAGTAAACAGTGTATTTTATTATAAAGGATTTTCGTTTTTCTACTGCTCCGTACTTCGTGTGCTCCGTGCTCCGTGTGCTCCGTACTCCGTGTGCTCCGTGCTCCGTGCTCCGTGTGCTCCGTGCTCCGTGTTTTACTAATAGCCGATAATTTCGGCTCGAGTTTGTATATCAGATACAGATCGGCTGCTCATGTTTTATCTAGTACTTGTAAATGTGTTTACACTTTTAAACTCAAGGTTTGAGGAACCAGTTACGGGTATCGGGGTTTAGTATTTTTGCACAAGTGAACTCATAACAAATACTACAAGGTGATTGGTCAAATTTGACGTATTACTAATATGTTATATTCACCTACAGGTGAATAATTATAACAAAATCGAAATTTTCAAAATGGCGGCTAGCCGTTTTGTTGAAGTTAGTGATAAAGAAATAAGCGAAATTAAGATGAATTCAGACCAGAAAAACACAAAAAAAACTTGTGCAAAAATACTAAAACAATTACTCGCCTCAGGCTCGGTGGTTATCGGAGAATATTCACCTCGACTTCGTCTCGGCGAATATTCCCCGAAAATCACCTCGCCTTCGGCGAATAATTGTTAATTATTCGCCGAATGTGCGGTGATTATCGGGGAATATTCACCGAGCTGAGACGAACTGTCCAGGTGAATATTCTCCGATAATCACCGAGCCTGAGGCGAATAATTGTTTTGGTATTTTTACACCAAGTCCTTTGTGTTTTTTTGGGACTGAATTTATTTCAATTTTGCTTATTTCTTGATCAGTAACTTCGACAAAACGGCTAGCCGCCATTTTGCAAATTTCGGTTTAATACGTCAAATTTGACCAATCAACTTGTAGGATTTCTTATATTCACTTGTGCAAAAATACTAAATATATACATATATACCTTTGGTTGTTTTTTTTGTTGGTTTGTCGGGTTCCGGAAATGCATAGGGATTCTCACTGTCACCTGCAGTGTCTTTGAGGACCTAAGGAAACATATCAAACATTTAGATTGTTAATTCCCATAAGATCGCGATCAAACGTGATTTGTTTCACGTAATGCACGAATATCCATATTACTTTTGTAATAATAGATAAGAAATTACTCAATTCTGATTGGTTAAGAACAGTGTAATTATTTTTCAAATTGCACATTGTGCAAAATTGCCACTCAATTAACAAAAACAAGAGGCAAGCCTGGAAACGAGGCAGAAAAATCAACGTGGTGGCAAATGGTGGCAATGTAAATTTTCACTTTTTGACAACTTTTTGCACACTTTCACTGGAAAAAGTACGTGAATATAACAATTTAAGTTTCTCATAGATCTATCGAAGCGGGTAAGCTTTTCATGTATATTATTAATAAGTAATAGAATGGTTTCTCGTGCAATTTGAAAAAACAAACTTCAAATTGCACTCGTCCTTCGGACTCGTGCAAGCTTGATAGTCTTTGAAAAACTCACTTGTGCATGTTTTTTTCCAAATTGCACTCGAAACTATACTATTACCTATTCAAACTGAAGGCAAAATAATAAGTCGAAGATTTAATTTCATTGGACGCCAAATGTCAATATGGAACTGAATGTTTCTTCGGTAAAAGTATCTACAACTGCATGATAATGAATTGGACTACTGGAATTAACAATTATTCCACTAATGTGCTCTACTTTATTATTTAGCTATCTAACACAAGATGATTTTACTCGCCAAGGGGAGAGTGTTGGCGTTCAATAGACTTTATGCATAATGACGTCACAAGGCTTGATGCCCGCGAGGAATGCCGGTCTTAGTAGTTAAAGCCCAGGAAAACTAAACAATTCAAACGCCAGACAGTTTAACTCGGCAGGGGGAGAGCATTGTTTATGTAATGAGAATTATAAGTTTCCCACCTCCTCAACGTGTTTGTGATCTTCAGTCTTTAACTTGGCATCAGGTTCACGGTCAAGATAGGATTCATCTTCTTGCATCTCATGATGGTTGATTTCATCTTTCGCATGACTAGTTTCATCAGGGCGACGATATTTAGCCTGCATCTTAGACTGAACACGTAGTCCAACCCTAAATATCAAAGGAAAAGGTAATTTAAGATTAAGATTAACAATTAGGTAATTTACTAATTGTTTTACCAGGGGGCCTATTATAGTCTGGCGGTTAAGCGGTTTCAGCCTATTTTGTGAGTCGGATTACTGAAAAGAATCGATTTTTGTAGCGGTTTACGGTGAAGATACTATCTCGCGACTTTATCGCACGGTTTTTCGGCAAGTTTAATCGCGGATTAAGGCCTATACAGACCGGACGCGATTCGTCATCAGTCGCGACGTGAATTTTCAAATTTCAATGACATCATACTTTACTATTTTGTATGTTTTTCAAATATTCGGAACCACTTAAGCAATTTTAGTTATTTGGCCTGCATATCTTGTAAAATTTTTATCCGTTGACGGTTTTATTTGTTTTTGAAAACTGACAATTCAGTCGCGTCGCGTTGCCGAATCGCGTCCGGTCTGTGTGGGCCTTTACGGTTAGAAGTAGAATAATAATAATTAAAATTGAAATTTTGATATGAGTTTCTCAAATTCATTAATAATTCATGAGCAATTCAGCCAATGATAATCACCTATTTGATCACAAGATGCCATTTGGATAACCCGGTGAAACTTGATGAAAGTCACAAGTACTTTCATCAAATATCTTAATTACGCATGCAAAATTACTTGTCTTGAATAGAATTCCTAATTACATTATACTTGGTTAAGAATTCTATTCAAGTCAGCAAAGGAAAACATTCTGTTACGTCTCGACTGTTCGCGCTCGTGTTTTCATACATTGTTTTCGAGTGTTTGGATATCCCGGTGAAACACTCGCTCTCGTTGTTCATATATTACGTCAAAACTATACAGTGGAAACATTTGGTGTTAGAGGACTCATTCCACATCTCCCACTGAACAGTACAGTAGTTCAACCCTAGATATCAAGTTAAAAGGTAATTTAATCTTTCCCAGATAACAACTCTTCAATATTAAGCAAAATTAGAATAGAAAATTTTGATGTGGATTCTGAAACTACTGTGGAAACATTTGGTGTTAGAAGGCTCATCCCACTTCTCCCACTAGAGGAACCCTAGATACCATGATATCGTGCAACAATAGATATCAGGTTAAACTTGCAACTCACGTGCAACTGTAGATATCAGGTTAAACTTCGTAGAGATTTGCAAACATTGCAGTATCAAGGTCACAATACGTGGGCAACCCTGAAATTCACATTCAAGTTTCGATGCGGGCGTACTGCTATATACTGCTGTAACATTTGGTACAAACTAGTTTGCCAACGCGCTAAGCGACTTTTGCCTATGTATCACTTAATATCATCGTCATTAAGTCGCTTCGTGCAAAAAGAAATGGTTTAAGGCTCAACCATTGCTCCCTCTTTAAAATAGATGACTTATCAGATAGAAGAATTATAACTGTATGAACGCCAAGGATGCATTCATTGCCGACGTTCATATAAACCTGGCTGGGATATCATGATATGTCTAAAGGCCTCTCTGTCTATGCGATATGATTTGAGTCGTATACGATTCTTATTCTGGCGTATGTAATCGAATAAACACAGGTAGAGATATTTCGCCATAAACTAAATGCAAAGAACTTGTCAATTGTGTTGTCGTGCAACCAGATTGACAGTCGTGTACGACATCGTCTAGAACGACCTTAATTTGAGCATTTAATTAATTTAACAAATCAAATTTTACTTACATGTGAAAAGGCTGCATGAATTATCCACCAAAATTATATGAAAGAAATAAGGAAGCATTAATAAGCCTGTTTAGTCAATACCAGTCGATCCATGTTGGTGTGCGTCTTCTTAACGACACAGCTAATAAGGTCATTTCCGAACGCTGTAGTCGTCAAGAACAATAGTCAAGAACAACAACACCAAGTCGAGGCTTGGTGCTAAATCTGATATAGAAACATTACAACTTCGCACGAAATCTTGTTCTCAGTCTACTGTCTGTGTTCGCATTCCACCGTGATTGGAGAATGGCTTTTATTTCATGAGCAGTGGGGCAGTTGTCAACAACAAACTTGAACTGAAACATTTAATGGACACAAAAGAGTTTGCACAAAACAGGAAATGAGAGAATGGAATAAGTCCGCGCGTCGAATAAAATATTGCAAATGTAGGTTTCATCGTATATGACACATTGTTAATTGCCCATATGATCAGGAACCAATAATTTGGAAACCTTATTTCAAGCCCTGTTATCCGTCTTCGTAATTTTCTAATGGCCTTTGTTTTAGCATAAATTATATATTTTGATGAATAGGTATAGACAGAGTTCTTTACCGTGGTAATATCACCAACATCAATTCGATAAACACCTTCTCCAAAGTTATGTCCCAAATATTCAGTATCCTGTGGAATAATACAAGGTTTACTGATGAAAATATAATACAAGACATAAATCACAAAAACAGAATATAATACAAGACATGAATCATACACAAAATACGTCTCACTTTTAGACCCTATGATGCATTTGGCATGAGCAATTGTATGGCCACCGTAGCTTGTTAGATAATTAATAATTTAATCACGCTATGCATTTAATCACGCTATTTTGCTACAGATAATGCTGACGTGGTCATGAATTTACTTCTATATGCAGTTATGCACACTACTTCTATACATCCTGTAAGCCAACCTTGGGAGAAAAAAACCAAGCACACGACTCGACTGACTACGAAGATAAATTTCGTGAGTTCTGAACGAGAACCCAGCTTATGATTTCTGAGGTGAAACGCGCTTTCTCTGAAGACTGCGCCACTGACGAATTTACAAGGTGCTTGTTATAATTATAAAACAAGTAATAAATGCCTGAGTGTAATTGCAGATTGTTGAAATACCTCAAATCCTGGAGGCTGGTAGTCAGGTGGTGTAACTAAAGCAAAAATGATTTAAATTTAGAAAATATTTAATAGTAACCGAAGTTGGACGTTTGTTGATCGCTTGAGAAAATTCAACCAGAATCTATCAAAATAGGGACTTTAAATAAATTCGATTTCGAACACAGAAGTTTCGATTCGAGGCATACAGTATCTGACTTTTCAACAGTCCTTCAAATTTGCTTGGAAAAAATTAATATTTTGCAGGCGTTTGCGGGTTGGAACATTAGGACGTAAAGGTCCATGGGATTGCCCTATTTGAAAGGATGCTTTCCCATCATTCAACCCGAGATGAGCGACTGGGGACGAGTCAGATACAGTTTATTCATATTTGATTTTACTTCTTTGTCTTCTTAATTAAAGTCTTGTAATAATCAGTGAAAGCGATTACACATACCATCATCATAATAGAGGAGTTTCATCGTCATCATTACATCATCTGCAATAAAAAATTTTTAAGATTCTTTTCCACTCATCGCAAAAACAAACTCGGAAGCTCATTGTTTTTTTATCCAATCAGAATGCTTGACAGTTGCTGATTCAACCATCAAAACGTTTTTGCCCAACCTCAAATATGAATTAAAAAATAAATACCCACCCCTGCAGACTCAAAATTTTGTTTACCCAACGCTTTTCTCTTCGGTGGCACCCCCCCCGGTCATAAATAATGGCCGGTTCCTTGTTACTAGATTTTAAAAACATGCATGCACAGTATCCTTGGATTCCTTATGACGTCACGTGGGGGTTGGCTCTTGTGTTGTTTATATTGTTTTTTATTGGCTTTTATAATAGTCAGAGAACAAATTAACATAAGATGCGTTGACAGCCATTTGTTCCTTTGTTGTTTTAGTTGACCTCATTTCAATGATTGACCTTTACTTAAGTCAAATTATGTTTAAATATCACGTGATTGAACCCCAAGATATACGACTCGTTTCGAATATGAGATCTATACAAAACCAAATCCTATAATGGACTGATAAAACTATTCAATTTTTTAGACAAAGTCGATTCAGTTTAACGTAATGATTGATTAAAACGAGTAATACTAACCTGGTAATGATTTCAGGGTTTGAGTCAGAAGGACGAGAGTTCTATAACAATAATTTCAATTTCAGGAACAAATATTCTCAATGTTGCAAAAGTTTTGGTAAAAGTCAAAGGATAAAGCAGAAAATGCATCGAAATATGTGGACAGATCGAAGCAATTAATGAAGTATTATCATTCAGCGACATAAATCGACGCTTAATTGCTATCGTCGTCATTTTTCATCTGGGGCGTGGAAGGCTGGAAGCGACATGTTGACTATTGAATACCGAGTCCTGAACTAGTTTGTGTTGAATGTGAACATTTGTAGCAAGAAACCGTTCATGGTACATCAGATAACTGACCTTAAAAGTCTTATTGTTGCTCGTTTCGTGTCGTCTGTCGTCTTCGCTGATGCAATTTGTGTCTCATTTCTAAAAAAATATACACAATCGAAAAATATATAAGATTTATCCATTTACATGCGTACAGCCGCGGTTTGTGACTATAAAGTATACGTCGGATTTCTGCATACCTTTTGCCACGCGGTTTTGCAGCATTGCTCCGTAGATATAAAAGCAGTAAAGGTCGAGGCACTAGACGCGATTCGACAACGACTTTACAGTTGGGAAGTTATTAATAAAACAGCCAATAAAAAGAAATTTCAAAAGATATGTAGACCAAATACTCAAAATGTTATGGCGTTTCTAAATATTTGGAAAACTCAAACCATGCAGGATCAAGGATATCGGTCAGTGAAAATCGAAAAATCGCGTCGCGTTGTTGAATATCGCGTCCGGTGTGTCTCGGCCATGAGCTCGACCTTTGAATTTACTTTTAAACACGCGTCCGAAATTATCAGTAATTATCATTCGCGCAATAACTTATTGAGATAGATGAACCTAACCCTAATCTAACCACCAACTCTAACCACTAACCCTAATATAAACTTAATCTAACTCTAATCTAATCTTAATCTGACACTAATCTAAATTTGATGACCTTTTGTTTAATAATCTTAGTATCACGGTTGGCCAGTGGTAATTACCAGGGGAAATCGGGATAAGTAGCGTCAGCAAAGGCCAAAATCCGTCATGTTTATGGCGACACTACTTTCTGCCGAGCACTTCCTAGCTCAGTAGTGTCCACAAATACAATCACATAGTCAAGCAAATTATATCTTACCGGTAAATATTGATGCCGTCACTGTAGTAATCAAACTGTAATTAAAAAGATATTTGTGTTGAAAACAACTTTATAAAGGATGATAGAATGGAAGTACACTCAAAGTTATGGATGAAACAGGGTGCGATATTTCGCCTACTTACCTACCGGAGGTATTTCAAGTCCGACAATGAGGACTGGACAAGATTTGATCAAGTCCGAGGCAAAGCCGAGGACTGCATCAAAATGCTAGGACTTGAAATCTAGTCCATTCCGAAAGGCCTTAAAATATCGGTCGGTCACGGACATTGTCCGACCCATTCATCAAATTGTCCGACGTACAGAGAAAACCACCTGACATTCTGTCCGACCTAAGTGAAACTGAGGTTTATTGTTTGTCCGACCCGAGTGTATTGGTGTCCGACCGAACTGTAGCTTTGTCTGACGCTTTCTCCACGCACGTAAATCATGTACTCTAGTCCAGAACCACAGTTTGTATAAAAACGAACCGGAAATGTTGCGGGGCGGCGAGTTAAATGGTGAGGTGGAAAACGGGCTTAAGTTATCGAAGTCGTACTGCTATCATTGGCAAGCAAGTTAATTTTGGCTTGGAAATAAGTATGAATGACACAAATTATTTAATATCTTCACAACGTTTAGTTCAGGATGAATACATTATGCTGATATTAATTTGCGTCATTCAGACTTATTTCCGACCCAAACTGAACTGAAGTCATCGGACATATGTCTGACCCAAACTCAAAGTCATCGGACATTTTGTCAGACGGCCCTGGAAAAGATATTTTAAGGCCTGCATTCCGAATTGGGGGATTTGAAATGACATCTCATACGAATAAATCACTCCTTAAATCGAGGCGAATTATTTTGGATCCAATCCAAGGACTGAATGAATTTTGATCCAGTCCTAGCACAGGATCAATACACTTCATCAGGTATCCAGTATTATCATGTGAGCAAAATAAGGCAATACGATTGGCTAATTTATTCATGCATTCAGGCCTCTGAATTCAGGTTGGCATTTGGCAAACGCCGACCTGATTGCGGATGTATCGCCGTGTCAGGACGGCAAAAATTGCCGAGTGCCGACCTGCAATTTTTATCAATACACTTTCCTGACGCAAATTTAAGGAACAAAGAAAAAAAGGAATGGAATATGTATACAAATGATTCTTACTATATGTCACAACTCAAATTCAAAAGGATATCATACACTTCAGATATATGTTTGGTTATTATTTAGTTAAGTGAGGGTCCTTGAAGGGGTCCCAATCCCATTTCCCACCTGAAATTTTGGCAAAATCCCTGTCCCAGTTGGATTTTCATTAGAAATCCCAGTCCGAGTTATTGAAATCCCATTCAATAAAAAACCCTTTATTTATCGGTAGAATAAACAGTTTTAAGACCTTTTAAGCCACCTTGTGTGCAAGTGGTGGACACTTTATCAAATATGGGGGGGGGGGCGGGCTTGTGCCGAAGGCACAGAAAATTTTTTAATTTGAATCCCGGAAATGGCATTTGCAGCATTCTGAGACACGCATAATCAGAAAACCCAGAATTCCGGGCGTCAGAGTATGCCTGCTCGCAGGTAGTGCTGTGAATAATATAGTTAACAACAAAAATCATGACCAAAGACACCGAAAACGGATCAAAATTGTATTTTAAAACACTTAAAATGTAGAAAAATTGGGAATCGACACGCATTACCTCAATCCCATTCCCATTTTTGAGGACTTCATTTCCCATTTCCAGTGACCAAATCCCAGTCCCAGCAACCCAAATCCCATTTTCCCAGTCTAAAATTAGATCAATCCCAGTTCCCATTTTACCCCTTCAGGGCCCTCTATAAAACGATTCAACGCGATATTTTGGGCAATTACCATATGATTTAATTCATTAAAAAAGGTCAGGCCAACATCAATTTATCGAAATTAAATTTAACAGTGTAGATACAAGTACTGAAATAAACAAAAGGTTAAAATAAGAAAATCATATGAGAAAGATAAAATTGTTTCAAAGCTTTTTTCTGTACCTTAAGTGGACGACACTAGCAGAGTGATCAAAAACTTAAATACCAATTAAAACGCATCATATTACCAGTTTATGATACATTCGTTTTTAAAGATACTCAACGACCTTAAAAATGCATATTACTTAAAACCTATTCGAGAGATGAACATAGAATACACGAGGTTTTATTTTGAAATGAAGTAGACGAGTAATAAGCGGGAAACATTGAGGAAAGAACAGGGGATACAAACAGTAGGTAAAACATGTTTTGCAATAAAAACGTGTAGACCAGAAATTTTTAAAAAGTGTTTAGTTTAATCGGTTTGATTTTTGCGGCCCATTAATAGTGATATTGGTGACCTTAAGAGAAGAGGATATGACAAGCGTTCTCTGCTACCTCTTTCCTCAAGTTGAAGCATTTCTTGAGACAAAAATTGCCCAACATAATATGGAATTTGACGAATTTCCTCGCGTTCTTGCGGAAGAATACGTCTTCAAAGTACGTATTATCCTAAAATTGCATGACCACCGTAAAGCTACCAAAAGCGAGCGGCAGAAGCGCGATTGAATGTAATTCGCCAACGATTATAACCACTTCGCTTTACACCTTGAACACCTTGGCAACGGAAAGCGATCACAGCAATACTGTGCCATTTTCTAGGG